GGCTAAAAAGTATTGAACATTCCACTTACTTATTAAGATACTTAGATGGCCAGTCTTCACTCGTCGTGCATGCCCCAGCATTGTTTCCATCCATTTCTGTCCCTCGCTAGATCAAGGATGTTAGTATTGAACTGCTGCGGCAAAGTTCGCGAGATCCAGATCCAATGCTCGTTACCAGCTGGGAGTTTAGCTAGTCCATCCGTGCAATGAACACGTCAGCCCATATGGTCGTACTCCCTCAAGAACGTCTGCTTCTCGAGGGATTCCAGAGTTCTTAATGTCCATCTGTCGTCTGTCCCTCTCATTGACCACCTTTCGATGTTTCGTCTTAGAGACGTATTCCGCTGGATCGCGAAGACGAGACATGGATCTCATATCTGAACTGCGAAGTCCGACTAGATGTTGGATGCGCCGGTTGTACCACAGAAGGCGTCGTTCTAGCGCTCCTGTGGGTTGTTCGGAACGTCGACGTAGCCACAGTGTCCGGCCACGTCTCTGCTGCGTAACAGAGCGGAGAGAAAACAGTCGAACAGGTGGGCTCGGAGTTCTGGGACCGTCACCTCCTATGACACGAACAGGTGGGCTCGGAGTTCTGGGACCGTCACCTCCTATGACATCCTTTAGGGACACGAAGGCGGCTTAGCTGCTAATTCTCCTGCTTGGTTCTTCGAGATCGTTCTCTATGTTCATCGAATGTCCAAATATACGAAAGAAGACGTCTCTGCGATTGGAGAGCCTTCTAGTCCCATTTCCTAATCCTTGCAAAAAAGCGTTCTTCATAAATTAGATCTCTTCCGGTTAATTCGCAGTCCTATCGCCTTCCCTACTTCGTTTAGTTCTTCCAGCATCGTCTTCGCTTCAGTGATCTTCCGAGAGAACAATTTCGTGTTTCGAGAGGAAGCTCCCTCTAACTCTTATACCTTTCTCGTTCCAATCCAATGATTTTATCACCCACTGCAAGGCAAACAGCTTTGGCGACATGGTGTCGACCCCCTTCAAAATTGATATGTTGAAAGGGCGAGAAAAGCTGTACCGTCGAAGAGCAGTTCGTACATCAATCAGCCAATCAGTTAATGTGTCCTCAGTATGGGGGGCCACCCCTTGGTCAACGAGCGTGGACAGTATAGCATGTCTTAACGCTGTTGAATGCTTTCTCATAGTCGAAGAAGGTTAGGACGTGAGGTATGCGGTACTCTCGGCAAACCTCGACAATCCTCAAAACTGTCGGATGTGACCCACGCAGCGAAGTCCGTGCAATCCAGCTTCTTCTACAGTTGGGCTTCATCCGGTGTACTTGTAGTGAGAATAATCTTTGTGAAAAGATTGTAAAGCACGCTAAGCAGGCAAATTGGACGGTAGTCTCGTAGACCTCCCTATCGCCTTTTTTCATGAAGAGGGATTGTTCGGGTAGTTGTGCGCTGATTGGATCCTTTCTTTTTAAAGAGAAGACGTCATAAATTCCGCAAGTATCTCGTGTAGGCGATGTCCTCAGCTTGTAAGAGGTCGGCCGAAACGTGATCTGGTCCCTGGAGCCGTGGCTGCCTTCATGGTCTGGGTAGCGGCGCGTACTTCAGCAGGTAGAATCCGTGATGGTATTTCTTCAGGGAGAATACCGGGGTTTCCCATGGGTGTTGACGAGCGGAAGAGATTATTGTGAAATCTCTTCGTGATCTATTCCATCTTTCGTCGGTAAGATGTGCGAGTCCCGTTTTCGTTTAGTAATGTTGTCAGCGGAACGCGTTAACCGAGAAAGTCCCTGCGGTACTTCTTTAGACTTCTTCCTTCTGCTGCTTCCAAAAATTTTAATTGCCTATAATGTCGAAGATTTTCTTGCAATGTTGTTCTGCAACTGTTTGGCTACCAGTCGCTCGAGATGTGATGCAC